ATGTATATTATATTTTTTTTTGAAGTTGGTATTGGGGGCGTTCTTGTTTGCTCGTTGTGTAATGTTGTTGTGTTTTTATTTCTGCATGTAATACGTAGTCCACCGGGCGTTTCGTGCCCGGACTTGGACTTTGTGCTGCAATCGTTGAGCCTTACCTGCCAGTTCCTCCATCCTTCGCTTTCTGCTCATCGATCCTTTGTTAGGTATGCAGCCACGAGAGGTGACTGAAGATTGATGCTGAAAAGGAGGAGCTGCTCTTTGGACGAACATCTCAGCCAACTCACGCCGGCATTTGTTGACAGGCAGTCTCAGTAGCAGACTTAGTCGACACGCTGTGCGAGAGTGAGGGAGAAGCGCGTGTACATATACAGGCACACACAGAGAGAGAGAGAGAGAGAGAGAGAGAGAGAGAGAGAGAGAGAGAGAGAGAGAGAGAGAGAGAGTCGAGACGCTGCGCGAGAGCCGACGCTTCTTGCGCAATTGGACGACGACGTGGCTCGTTGAGTGTTGAGAGTGAGGGAGAAGCGCGTGTACATATACAGGCACACACACACACACCCAGAGAGAGAGAGAGAGAGAGAGAGAGAGAGAGAGAGAGAGAGAGAGAGAGAGAGAGAGAGAGAGAGAGAGAGAATGTCGGGAAGTGCGTTCAAATGGGTGAAGCCAGATGTGTATCCTTTGTTGGCGGCCTTGGGAGTGGGGCTGACGTTTCTGGCTTATCAGAGTGCGAGGGCTCTGACGAAGAATCCGGATGTGACGTGGGACAAGGAGAAGCGACGGACTGCAGAAATTGACGAGAGGGAGGGGAAAGAGTATCGCCAGGGGGCATTTCGCAAGTTCGTGAAGTCGAAGTATGACTATGAGGACGTGAGAACTCCTCTACAGAAGGCTCAGAAATGAAGAGCACCTCATGGGAGCAAGATTTCGAAGAGGTAAGAACCCCTTGCGGCCTTCTGTTTTTTTTTTTTTTTTTTTTCCCTATTTTTCTGTTTTTCTTCTTGTTTTCTGCCTAGTGGAAGGCCAGCACCCGCTGGAACTTCGTCGACGTCGTGGGACCACTTCGCTGCGGTCGCCGGACATCGCAGCGGAGGGCGGTCGTCGTCGTCATGGGGAGGCGGCATTTCACGCGACCGTAACCTCTTCTATCTCTCTCCCTGTCTCTGTCTCTCTATCTCTCTCTACCTACACAGCGGCTGTGGTCGTCGGCGGCGCAGCTCTCTTGTTCAACGACGGTCTTTTCGTGTGTTTTCGTTGTGCGCGCACACACACACAC